GGGGGGGGGGGGGTTTTAAACATTTTCCCTTCCCCCCCCCCCCCTTTTTCCCTCTCCCCCTCCCAAGACCTGTCTGAAAGAGACGCTGCAAAGTAATGTCGCAGATATGGAGACACGCAGCTATTGAAGATTTCTCTTCTTTTAAAAAAAAAAAATTACAGTCTTTAACAGTCTACAAAAAAATAAAAAGCATACATTACTAATAATAACTGCTATACCATATTTAAATGGTAACAGTTAATATATAGACTCCTATCGAATCGAATGATCACAAATTAAAATAATTATTTATGGCAGATTTAAGGTCAAATGAGAAGAAATTTAATGCATACATCTGGCACCCACATATGGCGCAGTGAGAAATCTCGTCCACCGGTCCGCCAAAAGTTTGGGAAGCACTGGCACATAGCCTATGACGAAATATTCAATAACTTGCGAACATTTTGTTCATTCACAGCTTCAAATATACAATAAAAAATTCAGACTATATATTTACAAATGTGTACACAGTTGTTGAAAAATTGAATGATTGTAAGAAAAAAAAAAAGAAGAATATGAATGAGTATTCCTATAATACGTCGGCCATTGAAATATATACAGAAATGTGAAACATTAAAATGTGTGGACAACATATTGACAAACATATAGACACAATTTTTAATATAGACAAGTCAATAACTGAACGCTGGAATCTATGGTCCTGGACTTCTATGGTCATGGACTTCTGTAGCTTTAAGCTCAGCAGATTTTCTGTCACTGTTGCTGGGAAAAAAAAAGGGGGGGGGGGGGGGAAAACAAAAAAAGGGGGGGGGGGGGGGAGAAATCATCAAAATATTAGAATATGATCTAGAAAATGAATGTTAAATAGAATGAAAGGGTTTGGTTTAGACATTGGTCGAATAGGAGGGGGCTGTAAGCGTACCTGGGAGCAGGTGGCGAAATATGGCACATGTCAGTGGGTGCTAGTTGAAAAGGGGCGCACAGTCAGCAACCCAGAAAATATATATATATATATATTTAAATAGTTTTTGCATAAAATAATATTGTTTAAAAACCTCGTTATGACTGTCCGGTGAATATCTTGATTGGCTTAGAATAAGAATTTGTGTTTTTTTTTGTTTTTTTAATTTAAATTATGTAAATTTAAAAAAAGAAAGATTTTGTACAAGCTTGATAGCTTGATAACATTGTTGACCACAATAAGCCATACGTAATGGTTTAAAACGTGCACATGTACCGGCTGATAAATAACGTTAAATGTGTTAACCTTTTTTTTATTTTTTATTTTTGGGGGGGGGGGAGAGACATAGTAGGGATGAAGAAGAAAATGAGAGATTGATAAGAAGACGCCAGCGAGACGAACAGATGTGGGCATGGAGGGCTTAACGTCATGTCCGGCCTGGAGGCTGCACAGCACCCCCCCCCCAACCTCCCTATTTTTTTTCTTATCTAAAATTTATTGTTTTACATTGGTGAATATTTAAATTTATAACAGTAAATATCCTTTATTTTGATATTTATTTATTTTATTTATAGACTTTTAATAAAGCCAATTAAAACAGACATTGGGATTAATTACAATTTATGTCTGATATTGAAACATTTACCTTCGAATTGTGGGGGTTGGGAGGGGGGGTTGACTGATTTGTTTAAACCCCCCTTTTTTTCCCCCACCCCAATCGGTCTGACAAAATTTCCCTGCCTGGTTGGTTTATGGTAAATATAAAAAAAAAAAAACAGTATGTCGTAAAATACACGTTTTCCTGATAAGTACCTCTGAAGATGGCGTGTTGAGTTGTTATTGTTGACCGTGCTCAGGATCATCGCAACACTGAATATTTTCTTTGGGGCCGCCTTAGTTGCCACGAACTGCTGCTGGCCTAATTCGACCAGGTCCGGTTTGATCTCGACATCCATGTGATCTGAGTCTACGGAGAGCCTGGCTTCTGGCGAGGACTGGGCTGTCCTCGTCTGTTCAAGCTCGTGTGATGGGTAACGTGACCCGATGGTGGTAGGATCAGCAGTAGTAGCAGAAGTAGTAGTACCCATGTTGGAGCCCAGGACGTGAGTGGCCTTGTGCCCGGCAAGCGTCCTAGATTGGCAGAATCCTTTGCCACAGATATCGCACTTAAACGGTTTCTCCTTGGAGTGGATATACCTGGGAGACAGATTTTGTTTTTATTATAAGAAAATTCAAATCCCTTGGGAGCTTCAGCATTATATTATATAGAGACTTATAACTAATTAAAAGGGATATTAAGATTTAGGAAAAAAACACATCCGCACTGTAAAAAGTATAAAGTATTTGATCGGGGGAAAAACGGAAAGTTATTGGAAACCAGCTGCCGAGAACATAGTGTTTTTTTTTGTGTGTACTTAACAACATAATAAGAAATAAAATTTGAGAATGGAACAAAAAGTTTATAGCAAAGAACAAATTATAGCTAGTTTTATTAAGAGATTATAGAATTTAAAAGCAAATCACCTGTGATCACGTAAGTGGTCCTGTCGCCTGAAGGCCTTGCTACAGATCTCACAAGGGTAGGGCCTCTCATCGGTGTGAGTTCTCTCGTGGATGAGAAGGTTGTAGGATTTACTGAAGTGTCGCCCACAATATTTGCAGATGAATTCTTTCTTTGGCCTGGGACATTTCGAATAACGTAATGGAATTATAAAGATTTCTAATAACAGTACAATTAATAATAAATAAATATTCTAACATATCTCAAATATTGTTAAATTGTGATACTTACAACTAGTTAATGATAAACTCTAGTGACATTTTGATTTTAAAGAATGTTTCAATGATTTTTCATTAAGGTTAAGGTGGCTATCGTGCACATCCCAAGATAACATATATATTTATAAGCTTAGGAAATGTTTACTGTGCCTTTAAAGTCTTGGTATTACAATGTCATTGGTGTTAAAAATTCATGGGTGCTACAAAGTCATGGGTGTTAAAAAGCCATTGGTGTTGCAAATCAACCAAATATCCCCCTTCCCTTTTATGGATCAATTCATGTTTGACTAGTTGCCCATTTACTTTTGACCAGTTGTCCATTTACCTTTAACCAGTTGTCAATTTACTTTTGATCAGTTGTCAATTTACTTCTGACCAGTTGTCAAATTTCTCCTGGCCAGATGTTCCTCCTCAACATTCTCACCTTTTGGATCTCCTGACCTTGCCCTTGTCGCCAGCACACAAATACGGCCTCATGGGCGTGTCCGCCAACGAGTTCGCCTGGCGCAGGCGGTGGTTCTCCCTCAGCAGTCGGATGCTCTCCTCGAGCCCCATCACGTGACTGATGATCTGAGCTTGATTGGGGCTCACCGTTTTGGGAGACTGGCAAGTGTCGAGGTCGCTCGTGGCTGACTCGGCTAGGCGGGAGAAATCAAAGCGCTTCGGTTTTGGCTGTGGCGTGTTTTCTGAAATTAGACCCAAGAAATTGTTTTTTTTTGTTTTTTTTTTAAAACCCAGATAATGTAGCGTTGTCCTAAAAAAATGTGTATGGGGGAGACAGATCATCTCAAGTGCTGGTAGAGAGGCACTGTCTCTCTAATGTTAAGACTATTATTTACAACAATCCAGTCGCCTTACGTTTGAAAAAGGATGATGAATTCTGATTGGACTGCCGCGAAACCGGCAACGTTTAGGATTTACGATCAAGTTTTTTGAAAAACTTTTTTTCCGAAATCGTTTTGTTCTAGGGAACTGGATTTTGATCTGTCGGTAGTTTCCGTACTGTGTGCTAAGGTTTCCTTTCACCCAGCCCACGCACAGTTACTGACTAATGTCGATTCATTCACACTTGTCAATGTCACGTCCAAAGGACCTTAAGTCCTAAGTAAGTCTGATCGTTACGCTGGCGTTGTTTTAATAATCCATCACATCACACGCGGGACGCACACGCCACGCTTCCATCCGTTGGATGCCCACACGCAGCGCTTGCATCCAATATGGGTGCGCAGAACCCTTGCTACATTTTATCGTCACAACAAAAGCACATTTTTTTTTTATTTTACTAACTACTTCAACTTGAAGAGATGTTTTCCTCGTTAAAAAAACAACAGCAAAAAAAAAAAAAAATGAATTTGTTAATGTCTTCTAAAGTAGCCTGATTTATAAAAAAAACAAAAATAAACACTGCAGAGTTTTATCTTACAATTTCGTAAATTTTCGCCTCGGAGAAACACGTTTTAATATGGGATCATCAGATTTCTCAGTCTACAAGTTATCGTAGGGAGATTAGTTTTGTCCGCTTTCCCCCACCCCATCGCCACCCCAAGCCCCCCCCTAGTTTTTTGTTTTGTTTTTTATTAAATAAAAACCAAGTTGAAACAACAGTTGGTTTGCCCCCATGTTCCCATGTAGGGACGAGATGCGTCGGTGTGAGATTTGGAGGCCGTGTGAAATGGAAACTTGATGTGCAACTCCCCCCCCCCCACCCTCCCGTTGTGCCGGGGGACAAGGGCCCCCTTCCCCCCTCGCCCAACTGATTGTTCCAAGGATGCAATGCTAAGCTGTGATTAACGGGGCGACCTCTACTATCTCCGGGAGTGTGATAAGTCGGTGGGTGGGTCACACGTCAACTCAGGGCTTGGGGGGGGGGGGCAAGAACACAAGGAGACGAGATGACAAAGTGAGATGTTGTGTTGTTTTGTTTTTGAGGGAAAGGGGTGTGAATTTTTTCTTGCGTTTTTTTTTCAGTTTGTGAACTAGATCCAGACTGCATAGGTTAGTTCTATTTACGAGTGGCAACAAAAACAAAAAACACAAAAAAACACGTCTATTAAAAGGGTATCTATCTGCAACATGAAATTTGATTGAAGCTGATAAGAGTAAAGTTCTCAAGTGATGAGAAGAGCAGCGAGACCTGCCTAGACACGAGAAAAACACACAGAAACAGAAAAAACTCCATGGACTGGAATAAAAAAAAATTCTTTGTGATGTTTTGTTTAAACTTTTTTTTTTTCTTTTTAAATTGATAAAACAATGTAAAAAATATTTATAAAAAAGCTTTTCAAATTCCATTCTGGCTGAGAAAGTTTTTTTTGACACCCAGACAAGTTGGGGGGTGGGGTGGGGTGGAGGGCTTGTTGCTGAGACACAGGATAACAAGCAAACCACACCGTTATTATCTACAACGTCCGACCCGTTTTCAGACGTATTAAAAAGGGATAATCGTAAAGTCGAAATGCGAAACAGGACCTTGGCCAGACGCTATCTGCGTTTGTTTTGTGCTTTTTGATACGCAATTTTATTTTCGATGTTGCGTATGGCGGGAAAACTTCTCTGCGCGAGGCCTGCAAGTTTTGCTGGCGCATTTTCGTCTTACACTGCGTAGACGGGGAAATAATCTTGTATCTCGGTGCTTTTTTGTAAGCGATATGATGGAGTCTGCTAGCCAAGACCGCCTGATCTGGGTGGTTGTGGTTCAGCTAAATCTTATAGTAGTTTTTTCTTTACAATAAATCATTATTTGTTTTGTTTTTGTTGTGGGCATAAATGTCATTCAAAGCATTTAATATAATATAATTATTAATATTAATTTAATTGTAATTTTATTAATATAAGCATATTAATAAGTATTCATTTGAACATTTAATATAACTTGCAGAAGGATGAATCCAATCGCCATTGTTAACAAGAGTTGGTTGAACATAATGTCATAATGGAACATAGTGTCATAGATGTACAACATGCGCATGTCTTTTGTGGTCACTGTCGTGAACTTATTTGCATAATTTCCATTTAGGAATAAACTCCGTAATTTTAACATTATATTTCCTTAAGGCGCGTATCATTTAGTTTCGTATCATTTTAACTTCAGATAACTATTTGAATTTTGTACCAGAAAGATGAATAAATTAATTTAAAAGGAAATACCAAAAAATGGACTAAATTATACTTGTATCTAAAATGTATTTTTATTATTTTATTTTACCGAAATGCATCAAACTCTAAATTTTCACAAAACTCATTAAAAAAAAATAATAAACTTTCTGTAAAAAAAAAAAAAAAAACGTTTCGTAACTTTCTCTTCGGGCCAATCCAAAATTACAACCAGGTCTCTCAGAATAAGTGAAAACATTGCAAATCTGTGTACCTTTCTTGAGATTCCGTTCCATGGCATTTACAGGCCAAACTGGCCAATATTGACATTGTGTGGCCAGGTACGGATTGTGTTAGTGTTTAAAATTTTATAAAAAAAAAAGCCTTAAATGCCTGAAATAGTTGCGCACTAAGTCCCCTTCAATCATTGGGTGATTGCATACTAGAGAATATAGAATATCAAAAAGCCATCATTTGGTTGAAAGGGTCTCTGACATATACGTTGGACCAGCCAACAATGAGACGAAGCGATCAAGAGAGAAAGAGCGAGAGAGAGAGAGAGAGAGAGAGAGATGAAGAGAGAGAGAGAGAGAGAGAAGAGGAGCAACTCTGTACTGTTTCCAAATACATCTTACATGCCACACACCCATACACAATGTACGGCACTACCACACACACTATATTTAAGGCACTACTACCCGATATGTTCCACGTACACACTCAATATATTATAAGGTAATCTAATTCAAATAAAGTTTAGACACACAAAAAGGACACAGGGTTCCAGAATTGTGTCATCATTAATGATACCTTTCTGAGTTTTTTTAAATTCTTATTATTAATATAATTTTTTTTTACATTTAAAAAAATAATTTTTAAAGCCTGTTCAGAAATGTATCAACGGACCGGAGTGACATGATCACATTCAATATCTATCTGGTCAGGTCATCTGTTCACCCGTTTGCTTAGGCTTAGTGGAGGACTCAGCAGACGACAGGTCAACAGACCATCATCCCTTCTTGCAGTGTTAGTGGCACCGACCTGGTCATGCCATACGACACCTTCTGGTGGTCGGCGCTGACACTGGCGCCATTGCCCGTCACGGTCAGTGGACAGCGCGGTTACTCGTGGGTCGTGCTGTGTTATGTAATGATGTAAATAATGTAGGGTTTAGAGCTGCGAGAGCTAAGGATTTGGTGTAGACAAATGTGTCGAATGTTTCAGTGCTCGTCTGCAGAAATCCGAGTCGTGATTTGTAACGTGAACGCCCAAAAATCTCACCTCACGGAGGTAACCATGGCCTCATCCCCCCCCCACCTGTTATGTCATACGGGGGGGCCCGCTGGACGACCTGACACTGGTCAGTTTGTGGCCAGTCGTGCATGGCGATGATGAGCCGCACACGGGACGGGGGTCAGACGGACAACGAGGGTCTCGTTCGTCTGACTCCTTCCGTGCCGTGACTCCTTCCGGTGAGATAACTCGCGACCGGTAACCGTGTCGACGGGGAGATCACCACGCGTGACAGTGGAGCTGGTGTCTTATTTACGCAACTGTTGTGCCAGACGGCTCGGCTGGTTGGACGCGTTATTCTGCGAGTCAGAATAAAATGAGTAAAACAGAGTAGGGTTAAAACTGAAAAAATAAACGCAACAAAACAGCGAACGTGTCGGCAGAAAGCATTCGTCAGCGAACAAAACAACAGAAAAAACGGTATAAAAATAAAAAATAAGAAATAGCACTTAGCTGGTAAGTAGTATCTGTGGGCAGCAATTGTTACAATAAAATTAACGGACGCAATTTAAATATAATTTGTACCTATGTAATAATGTATTTATTATTTTTATCAATGAAAATAACTATAAAATCACCTGCAATATTAATTCAATTGCTTATTGATTGTAAGGAGGCCAGTCGACTCATTATCTAAACCCCCCCCCCACCTTTCACACCACCCACCTGGTGTGGTCAATGGAGACGGGTTGTGTCCGAGTCCGACTGATAATTTGCGTAAGATTGTGAAATAACGTGGAGGGTGGGGTATGGAAGGGGTATGGACCAGAGGCGTACACGCGCCAGGCTTGACACTCGCACAGCGTGGCCCGTGAGCTGTCGTAACTGCAGAGCAACGTCAAGACGGTCACACATGGAATGAGGGTGGTCGGGTACACAAAATATGATAAGACGGTTGGTCTTAGACTACGCAGTATGTATTGATGTCAGCTTTGTCCCATGGTGGCTCTCTATCTGTCTCCAACTCAGAGGCGTAGTGAGAGCGTTTGGCGCCCGGGGGCAAGATTCATTTTAAAGCGCCCCCTTTTCTTAACTCTCAAATCCATTATTTTCATCAATAAAATAATATCAAAGCACATTTTGCGCCCCTAAATAGCTGGCGCCCGGGGAATCTGTCCGCCCCGCCCCCCCCCCTCGCTACCCTTCTGCGTTAACCAAATCTGATAATGCATCAATTATAATTGATGTACACAGTTTATGTATTTTGTGTCTTGGTCGCTTTGTGATGATGTCTCCTCGCAATTTGGTGGCTGCAACTTTTTTCTTCTTTTTTT